TGTGGTAGCAATGTTATAATGGAATGTGAGAATGACCTTGGCTTTTGTGGGGGGATGCTGCCTAGAGGATGATCAGATAAAAGGAGGAGGTGCCCACAACTGAGTAACCGGGCAGAGAAAGGAACTTAGAAAAGCTCTACGTTTTACCCACTAATCAGGTGGTAAAAAGAAACAGTGGGAGATTTGTACTTTCAGGCTTGAAAGCTAATGTAGCCTTATAATAAAGTAGAATTAGCTTATCTTGTCACGTTTCCTGTCTGGTCTACTTGGGAGGCTGACAATTGTAAGGCTCAGTTTTGGAAAATGATTTACATTAGAATGAAACACATTTGAAAAATCAAATGTCCATTTTGACCTGTCATATTGTTATTAAATTTTACTAAAACATTATATGCTTTCAAAGGATACTGAACTAGCTTTGTATATGTTAATTGCCAAGTAATATTAAATGCTTCTTGCTGGAAAAGCTATTTGATTCCCTCCTTGGAAAAATGGTTAACCAATTTATAGGAACATGCTTTGATGTCCAAAATATCTTAAAAGTAAATCTGTGGTAAAATTTTAATTCTAATTGAAAACCATCCCTGGACGATAACTTACTAGATGGAGCTGTACCTCAACCAAAATTTGAGCTTTTCTATGCATAAAAATCTAACTTCATGAGATATTCCAGTCTGAATAGATTAATTATTGCTTATAATTTCAGTCAGTGATTTACACTCTGTTCACCATGGTTCCTTATGTGCATTCTTTCCTTAAAGCTTAACCGTGTTTCCTAGATTTTTAAAGTAACACAACATTTTATAGTTTATAAATAATTAAAGCAATATCGGAGAACTCCATTATTTTCCAATTCTCTTCCCTTGTCCACTTATTTGTAGTTTATTAATTGTATCCTCTTTTATTATTATTATTATTATTATTATTATTATTATTATTATTATTATTATTATTATTATTATTATTATTATTATTATTTATTACATTTTTATACCTGCCCACTCCAAAAGATTCTGGGCGTCTACAAGTTCCAAATATATAATGAATATATTTTTTAAAAAACAGTTCTTCTTTTCATATGTTATTTCTTTTTTTATTCCTTCATTAAAACACTTCATTGAAAAAGCAGATATAGCTGGGACAAAACAGCCTGAAGCTGCTGTTTGTTCCTCCAGGTTCCTTGATGCTTGCGATTTTGTCTGTGTGATGAGACACTGGCCTTGAGGGAATATGCTCATAACCAGGCAGAATTCCTGAACTTCTGGCTATTGCTAAATGTGCAAGAGAAGCCATGGCCAGGGGATTTTATCAAGCTGTGCCAGACACAGAAATTCTAGCCCCATTTAGAATTAGACCCTTGCAGCAGTAATATATGCCCCAATCGTCTAGACTTGAGATGGGGAATTAAGGCCTTTTTATGACTTGTGGACTTCAACTGGCTCAGGAATTCTGGGAGTTGAAGTCCACAAGTCATAAAAGGGCCACAGTTCCCCACCCCTGCTAGACCATCTCAATCTTTGAAGACCTTTTAGAAGCTTCCATTGATCAGAATGCATCAGCCCAGTTGTTGGTAGATACATGCCACCATGAGCACATTATACCTCTCCTGCAGGTCCTGAGCTCTCTCCTTATTGGTTTCTATGTGCAATTCAATGTGCCAGTTTTAACCTTTAAAGCCTATGAAGGTGGTCCCAGAGCACCTGCAGGGACATCATCTCCAACCAATTTCAGCCCACCACAACCAGACATTCTGGGAGAAATTGTTTAGGACCCTCCAACTTTCATGAAGGAAATGAGATGGAGGTTTGTAGGTAGACCTTTTCTCCTCCCCACTCCCCCCCACAAAGAAATTTGCCCTGCTTGTAATCTGTTAGTTTTCTGCAAGTTATTAAAAACTGAGTTAGCAGTTTGAGGAAGGATACCCAAGCCAACACCAATGACTCAAATGGCTATCCACCAGATAACTAAACTTTAGTGTCCCCAATTCTAAGTTAATTGGCTACTCTGGTTGGGAATTATGGGAAATCACATTTGAGGGAACTAGGTAGCTTAACAGAATATTCCACATATAAAAGCTTGGATTGATTTAGCCCAATCCTTCTAGTCATCAGTTGATATGTTAGATGTTAATGTGGTCATTTTCAGAATTATACTTTGAAATCGAAAGCTAACCTGTTTCTTCCAGATGTTTTGCATTATCATTTCTAAATTCCACTGTCACTGCCCATGCTTGCCAGAGCTAATATAAACTGAAGTCCAAAATGCAGTCCAAAGGAATTGAAATCCAACCCTTGCTCTTTAATAAGGGAAAGTGACCATCAATGGATGCAAATATCTTCCTATATTACCTGCAAATACAGTAGCCTTCAACTTAACAACAGTTCATTTACTGACTGTTCAAAGTTACAATCGCATTGAAAAAAGTGACTGACCATTTTTCACACTTACGACCATGGCAGTATCCCCATGGTCACATGATCAAAATTCAGATGCTTGGCAACCGGTTCATATTTATGACGGTTGCAGTGTCCTGCGTCACGTGATCCGCTTTTGCCACCTTCTAACAAGCCAAGTCGATGGGGAATCCAGATTCACTTAACAGCCAGGTTACTAACTTAACAAAAGCAATGATTCACTTAACAACTGTGGCAAGAAAAATCGTCAAATGGGGCAAAATTCACTTAACAAACATTTCACTTTACAACAGAAATTTTTGGGCTCAATTTTTGGGTTCAAGGACTACCTATATTCATTTTTACTAGCACTGATGATGTTACCTAGTTAGGGTAATGAAACGTTTGCAAACAAAAAAAAACAACAAGCAAGTTCAAGCAAGGACCCCTCATATTCATTTTTTTTCATAGCAAATCTTGTACTGTGTTTCAGTTTTAAACCAATCGCAAACATGCATACAGGAAGTTGCTGTCCACCATGAATATCTTCATCTAGTATAATCTACTCCAGGGGTAGGCAACCTTGGCTCTTTTATGACTCGTGGACTTCAACTCCCAGAATTCCTGAGCCAGCTATGCTGGCTCAGGAATTCTGGGAGTTGAAGTCCACGAGTCATAAAAGAGCCAAGGTTGCCTACCCCTGATCTACTCCAATAGGGAGAAACTCTCTGGGAACTGAGAAGTCTTCTTCATCTCCAGGTATTCAATTTCTCTACCTGGAAATGCTGGAGACAGAATCTGGGACCTTCAGTATAGAAAGCATGGCTGTCTCCTGTTTAGCCATGCGTCCTTCCAAATGAATGAAAGAGCAGCAGGAAAAGATGGCAATTGGAGGATGTGACATAAGACGTAAAGAGCCTTGCAGAGGAATGGCCTCTTGCATAATGGAGACTTCTCCAAAAATAATGGGACAATGTACATTGAGCTTCACAACTATGAGAACTATGTTTCCCGCCTAGCCTAACAAGACAGCAGAGCACACCACCAAGAAGCTGTCAAATTTCAAATCAAGTTCCATATAGATTTTAATGCCCATATAATCATACAGAAGACTCATATGTTTCTGCTGGAAATCTCTACTACCAAACCACAGTGCATCACCATCGATACTTATATAACACAATATATAAATGTTCCTTTATTTGCTTGTTAATTAAGTTGAATGCCAGTAATTTCTCCCCAGTGTAACCTAGGACTTGGATTACACACTGACAGTCAAACACACTTTCTGGCACCTCCACGTAATCGTCATTTCTATAGATTTATGTTATATACATACACACCTCACACCCCATCTCATTTTCTCACACAATTCTCATGAAGCAGCTTGTAGTAATCATCATCTTAATAATGTGGTTCAACTCAGCAAGCGAGGGGACATTTGTTGCAGACATAAGACTCCATATTGTGCTTGCCACTTCTGCCCTGGCAAAATTTGAATCTGTTTGGCGTGGGGGGGGGAAAATATTCAGAAATAGCTTGCTAATGAAATCTATCCTTGGTAGAATGCTAAGATACAGAGCCGGATCCTAGATGGCTCCAGATTTTCTGATAAAGGGAAGATTTTTGAAAAAGAGAAGGTCATCTCCTTTAGAAAACTGTCAATTCTGGCTTGAGGAAATAAGACGCTGGTTTGCCTAAACAGAGCCCAGAAATTTGCTCCTGAAATTACCCACGGCTTCACTCCATCCTTTGTACCCCACACAGCCATTCCAAGCTGGGGGGTGAGGAGGAGCCTGAGATGACCTCTGCTACATGTGCTTGTCTAATATAGATTGACTCTGTACATAAAATCCTAAGAATCCTTCACATCATCTAGATATTCCCATCAAAGGGGCTAATAATATTTTTTCCCCAGTTTCTCACCGGGGGTGGGGGGGAGAGGAGATGACATGGAGATCGTCTGAAAGCCTCAGACTCAAAACTAATTCAGTTGCAATAGCATTCAGCTGGGAGCAAGAGATCCCTTCTAACCTCAACACTTTCCCAATGTGAGTATACACATATATTGGTGGCCATGATCTACTATCACCTTGGCAACAAGGCTAGGCTGCCCAGAATTTCTTTCTCAGAGAAACAGTAGGATCTTCTAATGGGAAATCTAATGGAGGATCAGGTAAGGCAAGAGGCTCTCCAGAGACTCTACAAAGGAATCTATTATTAATAATAGAGGGGAGGAAACCCTATGTTTCTACTACTGCAACTCTTTGCAAAAACAGCACACCAACCTGTTGCCTATGTTGAATTATGACACCCAGAATCCCCCGGTAGCTGGAATTCTGGGAATGGTAATCCTAACATCTTAGAAGGTATCACAGACGGAGGAAACCTGCCTACTCTTTCCTCTCCAATATTCCAAACCAAGATTTGGGTGTGTGTGTGTGTGTGTGTGTGTGGGTCTAACATCCCCCAAACACAACATTAAACATTCTGATCCTCAAGCCCTCTCCATTATTTAGCCTATATCATCTACACAACTCAAGCTCAGTAGATGTGAGGTCACACCCATCCCACACTTTCATCCAGAAAGCAGGGTCCAATACTTACTGGGTAATTCTCCCTTGGCCAGCTCAGCACTAAGCAGCTCTTTATGGCTTAGACTCCAGCCGGGCCCAGGGTGAGTGGGAGTGGAAGCTGGACTCTTGGTGAAGATGCCACTGATGAACTTGAGCATTTTTCGGTCACGGGTGGAGGCCCTTCCACCCTCCCGGCCTCTCTTCAGCCCTACGGCGGCTTCTGAGGAGCAAGAACCAGAGGAGGCTAAGCTGACTGGGCCATGGTTGAGGTCACTGTTGTCCAGAGTCTTGCTTTTGTTTTTGTGAGGGGACAGCTTTGCCCTGGACCCTCCTCGGGGGACAGTCTCCCCACTCCCTTTGACTGCCACCTTCATGCGGCCCTTGACTTCACTCTCCGGCCACGACAGGCGATTTGGGGTACCCCCTTTGTGGCTCCCTTTGCCGGCCTTTGGCTCTGTACCCACCTTAGCCCCCGTGGTGGTCACTGTTTTGAAAGGCTTATTTGTGGCCAAGCGGAGGCGGCGATTTCCAGCAGCGGGGTGAGGAGAGGAGGCTCCCGAGTGAGAGAAGGAAGAAACACCTACACGGCTCACGGTCATTTCCATGGTCCCAGGCTCAGAACCACCCCAGCTAGCATGACTGACCAACATCCGGCGTCCAGGGGCAGCAGCACTGGAGGAGCAACTGGCAGTGGTCGGAGCGGGGATTGGCAATTCATCTCCAGGGACCTCCAAGGTTTCCGTCAACCCAGCCTTGGAGGGGATCAGAGCCACTTCTGGTTTTGGCAGCACACTGGGCATGACTGGAACCAAAACGGCTTTGGGCTTTGGAGCTACAGCTGGAGCTGACGGGATAAAAGTGCCTTCAGGCTTAGAAAGGAGAGTGGAGGAGACTGAAGGGCCGACCATCACCGGTTTGGGAGGAGCAGATGAAAAGATAATGCCCACAGGTGGTTCTGGTTTTGGGGGGATGATGGGGGCTATAGAGGGAATTGTTGGCTCAGGTTTGGGTGGCAGAACCGGGGCTATGCATGGCATAGTTGCCTCACGCTGGAAGGGCACCACCGGCTCAGGTTTAGGAGCCAGAGGTGGAGCGACATAGGGGGCCACTGGCTGAGATTTGGAGGTCAGCGCCGTCTCGGGTTTGGGAGGCACTGCTGGTGCAACCGGCAGCACCAGTGGGTCAGGCTTGGGGGGCACAACCGGAGCCACTGAAGTTCCCAGCGCCTCAGACCTCGGCGTCATGGCTGGTGCATCCAAGCTGATGGTGGCTTTGGCCTTGGGGGCAGCTGTTGCTAATCCCAGATTTGGATCCCAAGGACTGTCTTGACTGCTGCTGCTGCTGCTGGGTGGGGTCCAGAGAGATCCAGCTCGCCCAGGGCCATCTGGGGATGGGGATGGGCCAGGCGTCTCAGGGCAGCCTGGCGACAACTGCAATAGGTAGTCAGGAGTGCTGGCGCTGCTGGTGCTGATCCAGAGCGCATCCTGCCGGTGGAAGGTGCGCTCTTGCCTCTTGATCTTGGCCACCTCCTCAGCTTCCTTGTGGCTCCTTAACCCGGAGGATTCGGCAACTGATGGAAAAGCCATAGGGCTGGAGGGGAGGCTGCTTGCTCTGCCCTCCGGCTGAGGAGCCCCATCATCATCAGCCCTTGCCTTCTCATCTTCTGGCGGTGGCTGCTGCTGCTGCTGAGGCTGCTGCTGCTGCTGCTGTTCCCCTTGCTGGAGCTGCTGAACGGATTCGAGCTTCACGAGGGTCAGGGAGATCAGGTAGGTCGTCCTCCGCTGCAGGGTTGCTCCTCTGCTCATGAGTGCCTGGGGGAACGGACGGCGGTGCCCACCACACCGTTAGCCAGCATCTGCCAGACCTTTCTCCTCTTGCTGCTGCTGCTGCTGCTACTGTTGCTGCTGCTGCTGCTGCTGCTGGTTGGGTGGTTGCCACCCCCTCTGGATGGCAGCGGATGCCAGCCGCCAGCTGGAACCCTAACACCTCCCCTGCTCTGTCCATGCACAAAGGGCAGCTCCGGAGGAATGCTGCAGCAGCCGGGGCATCTCTTCCAGACCTTATCCCTTCCTCTGCCGATCAGCTGCCGAAGGCCTGAAGGCGAGCATCTTCCAAGCAGCCCCCTTGCCAGCGGAAGAGTCCAAGCGCCAGAAGCTGGGCAAAGGGGGTGGGGTGCTTCGCCTCTTTCCAGGAAGGAATCTCAGCCACCGCCGGAGCCTGGCGTGGGATGCAGCGGCTTCCGAAGAGGCAAAACAGCAGAAGGCAAAAAAAAAGGATGCCCTGTGCAGAGAAGCCGGCGCAGGGAAGAAGAAGAAGGGAGCAAAGGAGAATGTGGGGGAGATCAAAAATAAATATAATAATAATAATAATAATAATAATAATAATAATAATAATAATAATAATAATAATAATAATAATAATCACAGCTTCGTTGCAAGCAGGTCCCCTTTTCTGGTGCTGCGGCAACCTCGATAGCCCCTCAGTGCAGACCTCATAGTGCTGGCGAGTTGCCAGGATCTTTCACACTTCCCCTCCGGTCTTGTCATTTGCAGCGCTGCTACGGTGCATCCTTCGCCCGACGCCCAGCCCTCTTCTTCTTTCGGCCTCTCGGCTTTGCTGTAAATCCGTCCAAAGCTGAGCGCGAGGCCAGTCGGGCACCTTCTTTTCGGCTCCCCCTTCCGAAATCGCCCGCCTCTGCTGCAGCAATTCCCTCCTCCCGTTTCGTTTGGGAAGGGGTGGGGGGGGTGTCTCTCTGGCCCCCTCCCCTCCGGTGGTTCCTACTTTCTCTAGCGCATCTTTGCTTTTTTTTGCACGCGCGCCGTGCAGCTGCTTCTGGCGGCGCGGCTAGCGGCGAGCAGAAATGCGGAGATCGCGGCGGTGGGTGGGGGAAAAACGCGTGGAAATCATAAAAAAGCAGCGCTATGTCAGCACTAGCAGCCAACCCCTTCGCTCAGGCTGAATCCCGGGAAACACACACACACACACACACACACACACACACACACAACGACGAAGCTCTCCCTGTATCACGACCGCTTGCTGTTACCCGACAGTCCGGAGTTTAGAGAAAAAAGAACGAGAGAAGGGAAAAAAGGATTTAAAATAAATATTAAAAAAAATTAAAAAGGGGGGGGGAGGCGGGAGAGACGAGATCTTGAGAGTTATCACATTGAACACACACACGCCAAGAAGTGAGGGCTTTTTTTTTTTTTTTTTTTTTGCCGAGACACAAGGAAATCCCGGACTGGATCTCCCGCGCCCAAGACCTTCCAAGCGATTTTCGCTTTTCTCAACCGCTCTTCAGACATTACACGGGGCGGGGTTTTTATTCAAGAGAGGGCATGTCTGAACCTAACACGCCCTTCCGGTGGTGGCCCAAAGGAAAAGAGGGGGGGGAAGGGTGCGTGTGGCGCGGTGAGCGCAGATGTTACATCTTTTTGAGGCCGGGGTAAATTAGCCCCCCCGCTAATTGACTTCTTCAGTTTGCCCCATTGCCAAGGTCAGTGATGGCGAACCTATGGCACGGGTGCCAGAGGCGGCACTCAGAGCCCTCTCTGTGGGCACGTGCGCCGTCACCCCAGTCCTAGGCTTTCAGCTGGGTTTTATAAAACCTTTTCGCTGTAGGCCTTTGCCGCCATGTGCAAATAAAAAAGTTCAGTCAATTTCAACTTCTCGCAGGAAAAAAAAAAGATCTTGCAAAGTTGGAATTGATTGATTGAACTTTATAGTCCCACCCAGTCTGCTGTTACCACTGTGGCCACGCCCAGCCAATGGGCCACACCCAGCCAATGGGCAACACCCACCGGGCACCCGACAATGCATAAGTGGGTTTTGGGTTGTAGTTTGGGCACTCAGTCTCTAAAAGGTTCGCCATCACTGGCCAAGGTCGTCAGTCAATCTCCTGCAAAGGGCCGGGAAGGCCCACATCTGGAGGTTTAGCCTCGGCTGCCTAACGCACTCACGCCCCTTGCCTGCCGTGGGATCAGTGGGGTAATAAGAGAAGGACGGGCTGCCTGTGTGGTTACAGGTGGCTAGGGAGCCCGCCCTGCTTAGCTGCCCCACTGTCTGCACTTTCTGTTTATGTTTCTGTTTATTTAGATTTGTATACCGCCCTATCTCCCTTACGGGACTCAGGGCGGTGAACAGGCGATAATAAAAATCTCAATAAACATCTATTCTAAAATCAAATTAAATCAATAAAGGCCTGCTCTAAAATACCCCATATAAAAACCTATACTAAAACCTAATTAAGACTACGTACGCCAGGCCGGCCGCACGAAATAGATGGGTTTTCAGGGCTCGGCGTTTCTCACAGAAGGGACAAGCGGATGGCTCCGTCAGGCAGGAGGGAGTCGGTCATCTCCGTAAGGCAGTGATGGCGAACCTTTCGGAGACGGAGTGCCCAAACTGCAACCCAAAACCTACTTATTTATCGCCGGGTGCCAGGTGGGAGTGGCTGTGGTGGTCATGGCAGACTGGGTGGGTGTGGCCAAGGTGGGCGTGATCACCTTGATGTTGCTCATGGGGAGGGACGCCTATGGGGGCCGGGCAGGGTTGGGGGAGATCCAGGGGGTCTCTGGCAGGTGGGGTGGTGCGCAGGAGGCTCGTCCTGCGGGATGAGGCGAGGCAAAGTGAGGCACGGTGGCGGTGCCATTGTCACAGGGCAAAGCGAGGCAGAGGCCGGGGCGGCTGCTGCCTGACACCATCAGCCCCTGCACACAGAAGCCAGCGAGCGCATGGGTGCTGGGATGCATCTGGCCACGTGGGACCTCGGCGAGTTAGCAGGCAGCTGGTTGAAGAGGGACGGTTGCCATCTCCGGGGCATGGCATGTGTGCCCACAGAGAGGGCTCTGAGTGCCACCTCCGGCACGCGTGCCATAGGTTCGCCACCACTGCCATAAGGTGTCTGGAGTTAGTCGTCTAAATTGAATGCCTTTTTAATGCAGTATTGATTTAGCCACAATAAGTGTTTGGTACTACAGAGAACATCAGCTTCCTGGATATTGCCCGGGGGGGGGGGGATAGTGTGTTCTCATCCATTGGGTTAGCAGGGGGTGTAGTAGTAGCAGCACCAAATCAGGTCTGCAAAAATCTCAGTGACCACTACATGATCATTGCCCCCCCCGTTGGTCATTTGGCCAGATCTAGTAGTCTGTCAGGTGAAGAGAATTGGGATCCCATGTTAACTTCCAATTAAGCTGATTTATTGCTCATGCCTATATAGACAAGAATCGAGTCAACGGTCAGCACTAAATTGGTACTAGATCATGGAATTCAGGAAGGGCAGGACTTTATTACTTGTGGGATTGTAATGACTCCAGGCTGATTTCTCTCTTGACTCAGCCCCCAGATTCTGCCTCTTTTTCTCCTACGTAGTCCTAAGTCTAACCATTGGAAGATGGTGGCCATTTTTTGGGGGGGAATGCTCCAGACATTCAACTCACCATGACCTAGAATGTGTTGCCACATTACCTCATTCAGGACATAAAGGCAAGTTGGAGTGGGATTCCATAGGCTGCCGCACAATTTTCCTCAACTATTCTCTAATCTCTTGTTGCGTGGGTTTTCCCAATACGCTGATCCATATATCATGTTTTATCAACAATACTGGGTAGCTCATGTGACACTAAGTTACAAATGAACAAATCACAGTTAATGTGTTGTGGCAATCCAGCCAGAAACTAGTTGATGTCTCAATTGTATGAACCAAAGAACTGGGTTAATTCAGTTAACTATGGTTTAAAGTGGTATGCAAACAAAACCCCAAATTTTATAAATCATACTAAGATATGCTTTGCTTCATTACTGTTAAATTAAAATTTGTTGTTTTTTTAAAAAATATGACTTTTATTTATTTATTAACCACTTGGAGTATGCAGAGTTATAGCCCTAAGTTGTATGGGCAGCTGTATAAATTTTCCAATCAAATAAAAATAAACTTTATTGGACTTACTAGATACATATTACATCTATAAAAGACTGCTGAATATTATGAAGGCTGGGTACACAATATGCCAAGTGAAATCCACACCAATCACAACTAATCCTAACCTAAGCATAACCTGTGGCTATTTCTACACACCTACAAAACAGTAGCAAGAAGTCCTTGTGGGTTGTATTTTCATAGCACATTGACTGGTTTCATGCAAAAAAGTAACATCACAAAAAAGTGAACATTATTTTAGCCTAGCATGTTTGCATTTTGTGAACTGAGACACACAGAAATACAGTCTTGTACTTTGGAGAATGTATTTCAGAATCATACATCTGGGTATCCCCAGATGTTTGTAACACAGTCACTACAATCTAATTATTGGTCAGATAGTTTGATGGGTGTTAGTCCAAAAATATGTGAAGAGCAGCATTTGCCTATTCCTAGTCTAATCCAGTATTGACCTAGTTCATTAAATGTTTACAATAATCATGCTTTATAATAAGACATAATCGGCTATGTTCAATTAGCTGTAAGTTAAAAACCATTTTTGATAAGTCTCAGTGATTGAATCAGCATAATCTGCTACAGTCTATGGAAAAAACTTAACATGGCTTAATGTTGTATGGGACTCAGCCAATCATTAATGCTTCTTTAATCATAAACAAAACTTCTTTCATTATTTTATCATGACCATAAGTATATTAAGTATATTACATATCTTGCCTCCTTCTCAACTGGTAGTTCAACATTGCAAGAAGGTCAGGATAAGGAAAGTAGAAGTTTTGCAACCATAGATTTTGGCCAATTGAACCAGAGGAAAGTCAGCTTGCCAGGATGCCAGCTTTGAGAACAAAGGGCTGTGGTACTGTG